ACTGCCCCCATTCCATGCAACTATGGCCTTCCCAAGATGATGTTATAAGGTGAAGGTGTGTCAATCACGACGAATTCTGTTTTGATCTTCTTCTAACTGCTCTTGCATGATTCTATACTTAGAATATTTTGTATGCCTTTCATACTTTGCCTCCTTTGTGCTATCTTCTCGGGGTTACATACCTCGGGTATAATAGCTACAAAACTTTTACTTCGGCAAGATACTGACCTGCAAACTTTTCATAAATTCTAACAAGTGTGAAACATATACTACTCAATGTTAATTTTGCAAGCTTTTTCTCAAGTTTCAACAAGTGTTTCAACAAGGATTAACATATACTGTAACAGGAATCAACAAGGATTAACATAACAAGTGTTAAACAATAATCTATTTGTAAATTGCTACGAATTTCAATAAGTGTTTAAATATACTTAGCTCTTTCCTCAACCTGTAAATTGCTATAAATTTCAACAGATGATCATATGTCGGCTTAATGTTACCTTGTAAATTGCTACAAATTTCAAAAAACAAAGAGAAACAGTAATCTTGGCTTAACTTCAACTTATAAATTGCTATAAATTTCAACAAGTGAAGATAAGGAATAATCTCAGCTTAATTTCCACTTGTAAATTGCTACAAATTTCAACAAGCGAAGATAAGGAACCATCTCGGCTTAACTTCAACTTGTAAATTGCTACAAATTTCAACAAGTATTTAATCATAGTCTTCAATCTTGAAAACTCTTCTCAAGTTTCAACATCATCTCGGCTTAACTTCGGTTAAGCATTATCTCAGTTTAACTTCGGTTAAACATCATCTTCGGCGTAACTTCGGTTAAGCATCATCTCGGTTTAACTTCGGTTACACATCATCTTCGGCTTAACTTCGGTTAAGCATTATCTCTGCTTAACTTCGATTAAGCATCATCTCGGCTTAACTTCGGTTAAGCATTATCTTCGTTTAACCAACTTGTAAATTGTCCACAAATTTCAACAAGTGGTAAACGCATTCTTCTTCTCTACGCCCCCAGTGTGAACTTAAAATCCACTTGGGTTCTCATCATACATGTAGCTTCGACCTTGTCGCCGAGGTTGAATTCAAGCCGAGGTTGTCGGCCTTGGTTTCTCTATTGATCTTACTTGGCTCCAACCTGAGTTTGATTTTCGGCCTCGCATCGGCGAGCCGTTTCTCTTTTCTTGTTCCGACGCCTTTGTTCCTGGCATGTCCTCAGCCCTAGCATACTTCTCAATTTTGGCCAACTTTAGTCTGATCTTGTGTGTTTCCTTTTTATCTTCTGGGATCTGAGATCTGCTCATCGTGCTCTTCTCTTCTCGGACTCAGGTGCCGAGATCTTATCTTCTGGAATCTTGGATTTGCTCACTTAGGTTAAGCTCTTCTCTTCTCGGACCTATTCATCTAGGCCGAGATTATGTCTTCTAGGATCCGGGATCTGGAATTCGGGATCTGCTCACTTAGGTTGAGCTCTCGTCTTCTCGGGCCTACTTGTCTAGGCTGAGATCATGTCTTCTCGGATCCAGGATCCAGGATCTGGAATCCGGGATCTGCTCACTCAGGATGAGTTCTTCTATACTTGAATGTTATCTCCTTGGGAGCTCATGCCCCCTGTCTTTGCATCCCTTCTGGAAGGGTCTTCGTTCCTCCGCAGGTATCTATCTTTCCATACCTGGAGGTCGTCTTTGTTGCTTCGATTTGTTGTCTTTGGTGCGTCACCTTTCTGGCTGGCTTCTTTCACTTCGTGACTCTGGTCACGAGTTTCTGTGTTGCTATTGTCCCCTTCAACGTCGAGATCGATAGGTCTCCGGCTCCCAGCAGGAGCGTTGTCTCCAATCTGATCCTTCTGTCCGTCATTGGTCATCTATTCTTCTTTCTTTCATTGGCCATCTATTCTTCTTTCTTTCCCACAGACGGCGCCAAATTGTGTGGGTAATTTTCTAACCACACTACCCGCGTAGTATCCAGCTGGAGAGCACCGGCAGAATAGATGGCACCTGGCTAACCTGCAACAGAAATATAAGAATCCCGCGGTGGTTTCGACCACACGGGGGCACTCCGACGATCAAGTCAGTATATCTCTCAAAGATAAATCAAGTATTAAACTCACAAGCTTGAGTATCAAAAGCATACCTTAGACCCATAGGGATGCCTCTCTTTTATAGCCAACATAAACCTAGTCCCAATAGAAGCCTGACTTCTATGGACTCAGGATTACTGCTAATCTGGAACTCCCAGTGGGATCAGGATAAACTCTCTAAGAGTCTTATCTTTACCCAAACTGAAGTCTTTTCCCAATCTAAGACTCTTGTCCATATCCAGGTTGAGTTCCCTCTTCATTCTAGGACTCTTGTCCCTTATCCGCTTATCTCGGATTCCGATATCTTCGGAGGCAACCTCGGCCTAGCTGAGATGACCTCGGCACAATGACCAAGACACGTGGCACCTCGGCTGACACGTCGGCGTCATCTTGCCGCGTGTTGGTACTCAGAAAATATATCCCCACAGAAGCCATGGCGGAACAACTCAAACCTGAGGGCCCTACTGCCCATATAGAAAATTCATCTTCAAGCAAGCTAGAGAAAAATGGATCGAAGTCTAGGGGTTCTGGTTCTCCTTTCAAATGCATTGGATTGGGCTTAGTACAACAAATAAAATCTGAAAGGGATGGGGAGCTAACTGCTGGAAGAGTTCGTATTGAAGAGCTTGAAGTCTTAGCTGCAAATCGACAGAAAGAGGTAGGTTTGATGCTTTATTGTGTTGTTACGTATTCTTTTGAGATTGACACAATGCATCACTATTTTCAATTTATGTCCATTTCCGGATCTTCATGCTGAATGCAAGATTAGCTGCTGTAGAGAGTATGACCCATGATGTAATTCGTGATTTGTTGGGACTAAAGTTGGATATGACCAATTATGCATTAAATTTACAATGTTCTATCCCAAATTTGTTGAAGTCAATCATGCTATTTATTTCCCATCTTTGAGAATTCGTTTTTAGGATGTTCTGCATTTGACAGTGTATATTGGATTGAGTTGGTGATGCTTATGAACATTGATTACAGAATATCTTCCCAAGTCAATGCAATTATGCTTATCTTTTTAGTTTCTTAATGTCAGTCGTTGCTGGATAATCAGCAAGTGTAAAAATTAATGGAGAAGACTCGAATCTATAATGCTGAAGCTCAAGATAAGGTACACTCAGCTTCAATAATACTGAAACTGAATTGGACCCCCGTGCGTTTTTGTTGTCTTGAACGCCATCTTTTGTTTCAGGACCAAGAGGTAATGATGCTAAAGCAGCAGCTCAATGAGTTTATCGAGGAGAGAAAAGCGTAAGCAACTTTGACCCAAAAAATCAAATTTAAGAGTTCATAGATTCTTTTTGTTTTTCCAGCATGTGTCTAATCAGCTTTGAGGCCTTACTCCAGATGGCTAGAGGAAATTGACAGAAAGCAGACTGAGATGGTGGCAGTACAGGTTGCATTAGAAAAACTTCGTCAGCGAGATCGGTTACTTACAACTGAAAACGAGATGTTCAAGGTGGAACTCTTATTTATTTTATTGTGTATGTAGGTAACAATAAGTCTTTATAAAAACATGGATTTTTTCCGTCTATTCTTCCTGATTAGGACTACTTGCTTTTGATTTGTGTAGATGGAAAATGTTAATCATAAGAAAAGGGTAATGGAACTTGAAACTGAAGTAAAGAAGTTGTCTGGCCAGCAAAACCTTCAGCAACGGATCCATCATCATACCAAAATTAAGGCAAGGTTCAAGTACTTCTGAATTTGGAATTACTATACTTTCGGTGGTCTCAAGTGGATACTAACTGGTTTGAATGATGTCTTCGGCTTTGTATTGATTTGTTGCTTGCTAATTTCAGTAGAATTTTCAAATTCATTTTGCCTTGAAACTATTCAGCAAAACATATTAAGCAATTTCTTGAAAAGTAATTTTGATAGCAAGCTTTCTATTAAATTGAACAGGAGGAAAACAATTTCTTGAAGAGTCAGAATGAAGAGCTTAGTATTAAGGTTCGACGAACAGAAGCTATTCTTACATGTGTAAAAGAAGAGCTCACTCACTATCGTGCTAGTAATGGCAGAAACCCCAACATCAATTTTGACGAGGAGAATCGGTTGAATAACTTATTGAAGGTAGGCAAAACTGTTGCTTTTTTCTTTTTTTTTTTTCCTTCCGTTTTTTGGGCTAGTACCTGAGAGAGGGAATAGTTTGGTCTAAGCAAAACACCCTTCTGCACATGTGTTTGCACGTTTATTTGCAAGAGAGAGAGAGAGAGCGAGTGCTAGCATTCGAGTGAATGTGTAACAGGAAACTGAAGGGGAAAGGCTGCAATTAGCATAAAAGTTAGTGAGCTTGTGCACCAGCATTTTAAAGGTTTGTGGAAGTTAATTATTGATATTATTTTCCCTCATAAATGACAAAACTCGTGCCAGTAACCCAAGTAGCACCTATGAAGTATGGGCAATATCTAAAAAAATAGGATACGGTAATCGTTGGGGTATGTCAATAAATGTTTTGTTTTTTATAATTTATAATTGGAGATTCAATTTACAAATCAAAGTTCAATACCAAAATTAAAATGAGAAATTACAAAATTAAAAGGAAAATCATATTTCAACAATACTAATACTAAAGCAAAGTCTATAAGCTATTTTAATGCCATTAAATAGGAGAAATTACAAAACAGTTTCATTCTAAAAGCAAGTTAAGCAAAATTTGAAAATTTGAAATTCAATTTTCACTTCTGTCAACTTCATCGTTGAATAATACATCTTTCATTTATGGCACATCAAATAAAGGATTTAGAATATTTTTAGATTCAACTTTTTGATTAAAATACACAGTATTCAGACACGATGCGCCTCTTGCATAGAAGTGTTTGTACTTCCTAGCTAGGATCTTTTTCATCCAAATAAACAAGTGTTGCTTCTTACAGCTCATCTCTTGTTTGAATCTAAATTTATAGGCTGCGGACATAACAAGGCTGGTATCTGATGTAAGTGTCTCCGTGGCTGAAGAAGCACTAGAGCAACTCAAGAACCGGGTTACTTCACTGGAAAGAGAGTTGCAGGATGCCAAATTCAAGGTAAATGAAATCATTTCTCTTTTTTCATTATCTTTTTTTCGAATTGTAATTTTGAATTTTGATAGCAATGATTTTTCGCCATTCTTTCAGTTTTTCTTTTTGGGGTGATTGATAGTTTAAGTGATTTGTGATACTAACTTTTATGTGCTTGGGACTGAGATGGTTTTTAATTAATTCAACAGAATAGAATTACCAATGAAAGAATTCGATTGTCCGAGCTCATGCCACAAACCTCACCGTATAGCTCAAGAGCAGACGAGAACTGTCAAACTCCAAATAGAGTTTCTCAGACTCCATTTCTTTCTGTTTTGGATAGATAATGCTGATTTACAGATTCATTTCAGAGAAGAGATCAAGATGAATGGGTTAGCCTTTTGCTAGCAGTTGCAATTTTTTTTTTTAAAAAAAAATTTTGGAAAGAGAAATAGCAGTTGCAAATTTGCGTTCAGCTAGTGTTGTTTGGCTGTAAATTGATTATTTCTTATTTGTATATTTTTTTTCATCAAAAATATATATATTCAATAGAATCTGTATTTTGCTAATCTACACCTTGTAAATACGGTACAGTAAATTATAGGGGCGATAAGGTCTGTAATGTTCTTGCAATTTAGTAATTTGAATTTTTTTTCATAATTTTAATGTTTTGAATACGAATGGCCCTGTTTGGTTTTCTTTTCAAAATTTGCTTTATGAATATTTTTTGGAAAAAAATTGAAGTTACACCAAAAAATTGAGAAGTCCCATCAAAATTTCTAATTTTTTTTTTACAATTTTTATAATTCCATTTTTACCTTTCATACCTATCATTCACTCTTCTTATTACACCCAAAACTTAAAAAATTCTAAGGTCTTGTTTGTTTTACAGATTAAGTTAGATGGATTAAAGATACAGTATGCTTGAGCGGAGAAATTATTAGTGTGATGATGGTATTAAATCGGAGATGAAGTGTGTCTGTGTGTGCACTAGTAGGGTGGTATTAGATTACGTAAAAATCCTTATTACATAGAAGATATTTTTGTTGATTTTGTGAATGAGGGGCAAAATAGTCTTTTTGTCATCAATCTATGGGAGTGGAATGCTAATCCCATTCTTTCCATGGAAATGCTAATCCCAGGGATTGATAGTCATATGGGATAATCTCATATCATCCCTCAGCAAACAAACATGCCAATCCTCCTTGAGTTTTGAATTTTAATTTATATTTTTAACATATGTATATAAAGAAAATATTTTAAATAAAAAATTTACAAAAATAATATTTAGAATGAAATGTATGGCATTTTAAAATTTATAGTGGTTGTTTTTGTTGAAAATAAAAAGGACCGTAACAAGCGACATTATTATGTATAAAAATTCTATGAAAAAATCTCAATACAATGGTAATGTCTATTAAGTTGAAAAATTATTAAAAAAAAGTCAATAAATTATTGAAAAAAATTAAAGATTTCATTTTATTTCTACTTTTTACACTTTTTTTGTGTGTAAAAAGTTAGAAATTTATCCTAAACATAATAATTTTTTGGGAAAATAATCAATAAGTCATATTCTGCTCTTAAGATTACTAACGAGTCCTTCAATATGGATAACTAAGTCCTATTTGCGATAAAGGGTTTCCAAAATATTCATTGCTCTATAATGGTATGTTCCCAATTTTACCTTCATATTTAATATGAATAACAATTTTATAAATAACTTAATTAAAATTTTAATTGTAAAAATTATAGATCTTATATCTATAATTTTTTTATTTTATGAAAATCATTTAATTTGAACAATTAAAAGTAATTTACTTATAAAATTTCTAATACATTAAAATTATTTATGAAAGTTTTTGTTCATATTTTAATGAAAAAGATAAAATGAAAATAAAATATACTATTATGAACAATTGAATTTTTTTTACGTATAGCAATTTATTAAAAAAAGATTTATTTGTTAATATTGAAATTTGATATAATTAAATAATAATTTTCAAAACAAAATAGAACTTTTTAATGATTTTTTCATTGTGATTTATGATTTTTTTAATACAATATCATGATTTTTATAAGTAAAAAATATTATTTTATTTAGATTAAAAATATTTCCATATTAATTGAGGGGTAAAATTGAGATAACATCCACCATTATAGAGTAATGAATTTCTTGAAAATATATTATAAAAAAATAGGATTTAGTTGTTCATATTGAAACTTGATAGGACTTGATAGTAATCTTAAGCGCAAAATATGACTTATTAATTATTATTATTATTATTTTTACCTTATATTTAAATTAAAAATTTTATTAAAATAGTGTTAGCACAGGAGTCCTGAGGATGGCAAACATGATCTATGGAAATAAGCAAATCTTTGGCTGGATCGTGTTAATGAAAAGGTGGATTTGTCCCATGACTTTACCGAAATCTAAGGTTTTGTTCGGTTACAATTTTCAAAATTTATTTTTAGAATAAATTATATTGGTGCTTTTATATTTTGGTTCTTATATTATTTTGATTTTTTCACTTTTAATTGGTTTAATTTTGATTTTTAATTTTAAATTGTGTTATTTTGGTCTAATTGATAATATTGTTAGTGTTTTTGACAAAAAATAATTATTAAATTAGTTGAGTTAATCTCATTGAGTTTAGTAAATTTATAATTTTACTCTAAAAAATATGACACATGCCACTTTTATGTATATTTTTCATAAAAAATGCTAAGAGTTGTGAGGAAGGAATAAGAATGATTTTTGGAGAAGATAACGAAACTCTAATGTCGATGGTGCAGATGATGTTGAAACCCTAATTCTGCTGTTTTCCTGTTCGTGAAGATGCTGGATGTTTGGAATGTAACTCAGACGTCGGAATGAGTTTGTTTCTGTGTTGATTTTGGCAAGGGTATTTTGGTCCACAAAATAATTAAAAACGCGCCCCAAGTTGTTTCAGGGACGTGATGCATCACTATCTTTTTGGGTGTCCTTATCCTCTAAATTATTATTATTAGGGACCTTAAAAAAAATCTCCCTTATTTTTACCTTATATTTAAATTAAAAATTTTATTAAAATAGTGTTAGCACAGGAGTCCTGAGGATGGCAAACATGATTTATGGAAATAAGCAAATCTTTGGCTGGATCGTGTTAATGAAAAGGTGGATTTGTCCCATGACTTTACTGAAATCTAAGGTTTTGTTCGGTTACAATTTTCAAAAATTATTTTTAGAATAAATTATATTGGTGGTCTTATATTTTGGTTTTTATATTATTTTGATTTTTTCATTTTCAATTGGTTTAATTTTGATTCTTAATTTTAAATTGTGTTATTTTGGTCTAATTGATAATATCGTTAGTGTTTTTGACAAAAAATAATTATTAAATTAGTTGAGTTAATCTTATTGAGTTTAGTAAATTTATAATTTTACTCTAAAAAATATGACACATGCCACTTTTATGTATATTTTTCATAAAAAATGTTAAGAGTTGTAATCAATTGGATCAAATTGAAACAAAATCATAAATTTAGGATCAAAATCGAATCAAATGAAATTATAAGGACCAAAATAATACAGCCCAAAATACAATGACTAGTGTCACAATTTGTCCATATTTTTATATGGGTTTTCTTTTGTTTTATTGATTTCTTATTTATTTATTTTATTTTTTAGATATATCAAAATTAGATGGATCTAAAACGTGACAAGGTTAAACTAAATTATGAAAAAAAAATCACTAAAAATAAACAAGAACCAGAGCAAAAATGCACACAATTTTTTGTTTGAATTTTCATTTATTTTTAATATTTAAAAAAAAATATTTTAGTCAATTTGTTTTACTTTTTAAAGGCATCTTGATTAGGCGCATCTAAAAAATACAAAACTTTGATTAAAATATCAAAAAATATTACTAAAAATAAATGATAACTCATCTAAAAATAATTTTTGAAAAATCAAGCCTAATAAACATTTTAATATCGTGTTTTTCATACATGATTATTGAAGTTGGTTTTTACGTACAAACATATTTTTAAAAGGTTAATAATAGGTGAAACGTCTACGCCTATGAGATCCTATATTATTTAGTCTAAGATTTAATTTTTTTTGGTGATAAGAATATGTTTGGAAAAATCACCAAAAAATTAGTTTAAAAGACGCTAGTGGTGGCTGGTTGCAATGAGGAAGATAAATATATGAATAGACAGGTGACATTTGAATAGATAAATGACACGTGTACAATTAGATGACATTTGAACAAATAGGTGACATCTTAACAAATAGATAAATAGGTGTCTTTTTAAACAAATCAATGTCCTTTTACCTCCGAAAAATTTAAACTTGGATCAAATGTTCAAAAGTTTAGAAACAGACCTTTGACTTTAGTGTTCCTTTTTTTAACACAATTTTATTGTAATTTTTTTTCTTAATAATGTAATGAAGACATGATTTTGAACTTAAATTCGGAATTTCAAAATAAAAATATATAAATAAATTACTCTGTTTGCTTTTGAATTTTTCAAACAAAGTTTTGACTTGTCCACATGTATTTTTTAGTTTTTAGTGATATTTTTTAAAAATATTTTAATCATTTTTTTTTTTAAATTTACTTAATCTATATACACTACAAAATACAAAATTTATTTTTTTATATTAAAAAAAATTCACCAAATATAAAAGAATACAAAAAACATTAAAATTCATTACATTTTTATAATTTTTTTATTTATTAAAATTTTTATTAATATTTCTTTGTTGATATTTTGTATTTTAAGTGTATTTATATTAAGCAAATCTATAAATAAAATAATTAAAATATTAAACTTTTGTACCAGAAAGTCTCGTATCGTAATAGTATGTACCAGAAAGTCCCATGAATTTTATTGTAGACTATTAAGTTTTATTAAATTTGAAAAGGTACATCGTAAGGTCCTTTCACTAAATTTTCTGGATATTCTAAATGTGAATATGCTCCATTTGTGTCATTTTTAAAATGTAATAATGTGACATTAGGGTAAATTACACTTTGCATTCTTGCACTTGGCACTAAGGCCTATTTTGGAAAGTGGGTTAAAAGTCACTTTCCAGCTTTTAACCCACTTTCATTTCTCACAAAAAAGTCAAAAAGTAACTTTTAACCATCTTTTCAAAACATTCCTAAATTTTATTTTGATCTCTACACATGAAATTATGACAGTCAACCCATACACTTCTGGTCAAATCCTACTTTTAGTTCTTCAACATGAAATCATGACAGTTAACTCTCTATACTTATGAAATTGTAACAATCAACTTCCTACGCTTCTTGTCAAATGTCAATGTCTTCATTTTGTTATTTCATCATGTAAGTCTTTAACAGAAGTTAATAATGTGACAAGCATATGATTATAAAATGAGGGTAAAAGAGAAAAATCACAAAAAATTTATCATCTATACACATTTCGTCCTAAAATTTACATCAAATTTTGATTGTATTTAGCTAAAACGAAACGTAAATTATGAACAATTAAGGAGATAAACTAGGATTTTGCAAAAATTGAAATAATGAAACTTTGTTTTCTACTGTAACAAAGTCTACGATTTCTCAGCCGCGTTTTTTTTTTGATTTTCAAAAGCGCTATTTTTCTTACCTCTTCCTCCTCACTTTCAACATATAAACACATAC